GTAGCACAGTAGCAAGGTGGATACTTTAAATACCACACTTTGTTTTTATTTTGAATAGTGGACTGATTTCTCTGCACAACTGGCCCTGATTACACAAACCAATCAACAATCTGTCAAAGTGAGTGAGAGCGAGAGCGCACGACACATATCTTAAACATTTCTCCCGCATTGTTTGAGCAAAATAACAGTGTATGCAACTCTCGGTGAGTTCCAGTAACTTGTCTGTAAAAGAATCAACAACTACTTCCACAGTCCTTGGTTTAAAAATAGTCCTTTGTCCATTTCAGTCCACAACCCAAAATAAAGAAAAATAAAAAAGATGTGCTCTTTAACATATCCACCTCATGACTGTCCTTTCTATTCCATTAGCTATAACTTTTCTCAAGTTGTTGATAACTTTTCAAAAGTTCTGAAGGGTCACTGGACACAAAATGTTAACTCTGCTTTCTCTCCACAGGTGCTGCTGAAGCTGCTGAGTTTTTCCAGCAATTTCTGATTTCGTTTAGAACACAGACACAGAATTTCACTTTGATCCCAACTTTGCTTCTAGGGTTGGGGATATGCATGGTATTGTGGCATAACATTGGTCTAGTGCTTCTAGATTAGGGTGAGCCAAACAGTCATGATGCATTTGTTTATCCCGCTTGCTAAAACAGTCAATTAATTTATTTATGGCAAACTAATCCTATGGAGTTGATTCTTTTTTCAAGTGATTTATTCGTTTTTTGAGCCATGTATCATTCATGGCAGTAAAGTCAATGTTATAGTGCCACAGTTCTTGGGCTGTGGCAGCAATGCCTCATTTAGATCTGTCACTGCTGGGGTTGTCCATAACAGTCCTGCTGTTCCAGATCAAAACTTGACTTTGAAGAGTCGGAAGTTGTCCGTGTGCAAGTTCCTTCAAAGTGGAGTAACCACCTGCACACCAATTACCATAATGTCCTGGCAGAGCAAGGTCTTCATTCAACAGAAGGGATGCCAAGATGATTGGCGCCAAAGTCCACTTCACAGTCAGGGAGAATCCCACTGAATATTGTCCCTGACCTCCCCTCCATCACAGGAGTCACAGCATTACCATTATAGAATGAACGTTCTGGTGAACGTGTTATCAAGTTTGGTTAAGGGAAGAATGTTGGCCAGAATACAAGAATAATTCCTCTATTTTCTTTAAATAAGATTTTCAACCTCCACTTGAACAGCCCTTGGTTTAATTACCAAATAGATTCAGAACTCAAGTCTTCATTAGAGGGTGGGTCAAACTTGCAATACTAACACAGAATGTAAAAATGAGAGAACAAGCAACATCTTCCCTTGATTTTAAAAACACACTTCAGATATCACAAGGTTTACACTAGACAATTTGGCTAAACTTTGGAATGAATTAGAATTACCTGCCACCAGAAATATATTTATCATATAACAGAACTGAAATTTAATTAGACTGAGAAAAAACATGTTGTATGTTTTTCTAAACAATAAAGCTCCAACAACACTAAGTTAGGGACACGCCATATGTTGGTGGAGAACTCTGGACCAAAATACAAACATCAGCTTATATCGACCCTGGAGTCTGCAGTCAGACTTATTTTAGGCACACAGGAAAAAGACAGTGGCCACTTCTTGGTATTGCTGCTGGATTACAGAAATGGTATTTTCAGAAAGAACTACTGAAGTGACAACACCATGTTGCCGGAGGGAGGGGGAGGGAGGGAGAGATATCGACAGCAAGGGGGCTTTATCAGTTTTATGCTTTGTTAGAACTGTCCAGATTGCACAAATAGGTAAGATATAGCAGACTAACAAAAACACTTAAAGAGGGGGAAAAAACCCAAAAGAACTGCGGATGCTGTACATCAGGAACAAAAATAGAAGTTACTGGAAAAGCTCAGCAGGTCTGGCAGCATCCGAGAAGACAAAATCAGAACTAACGTTTTGGGTCCGGTGACCCTTCCTTTAAAAAACAGTTTTGACATTATAAACCTTTTTTCTTAGGATTTCCATTAAAAGTATTTACATGTAATTTTAAAAGCTGAGTCTTGGAACAGAAAGTTGGCGAGGAGCAAGTGCTTTTTCATATTTTTTCATATATCAACGAAGGCAATGCATTCTTCACCACCCTGTCTACCTGTGGCGCAAGGAACCAGCCCACTGGCCGAGTTGATCAAGAATCTGCTGTACCCTTAGATAACCTTCTTCACTGTTCACTAAACCACCAATTTTGGTATCATCCGCAAACTTACTAACTATGCTTCCTATATTCTCATCTAAATCATTTATTTAAATGACAAACAATAGTGGACCCAGCACCAGTCTCTGCAAAACACCACTGGTCACAGGCCTCCAGTCAGAAAAACAACTCTCCACCACCATCTTATCTCCAGCAAGCCAATTTTGGATCCAACTTGCAAGCTGTCCCTGTATCCCATGTGTAACTTTACTAACCAGTCTACCATGCAGAGCCTTGTCAAAAGCGTTGCTAAAGTCCACACAGACAACAGCTACTACTTTGCCCTCATCTACCTTTTTGGTCACATCCTCAAAAAACTCAAAGTTTGAGGGACATCAATTCCCACACACATGCTGACAATCCCCAATCAGTCCTTGCTTCTCCAAATGCATGTAAACTTGTCCCTCAGAAACCCCTCCAACAATTTACCCACCACCGACATCAGGTTTACTAATCTAGTTTCCAGGCTTCTCCTTGCAGCCTTTCTTAAATAAAGGGATGACATTAACCACCCTCTAGTCCTCTGGCACCTCACTCCATCTAGCCCAATCAACTTTTGAAAGTTCCTGTTTCATATCATCAAAATTGGCCTTACTCCAATTTAGAACTTTAACTTTTATACAAGGCCTATCCTTTTCCAATAACTATTTTAAAACTAATTCTACTATTATCACAAGTGCTCCCCCACTAACACTTCAGCCACTTGCCCTGCGTTATTTCCCAAGAGGTCAAGTTTTGCCCCTTCTCTGGTATGTATGTCTACATACCTGATAAAGAAAATTTTCTTGAAAACATTTGACAAATTTCAATCCAAGCCCTTAACACTATGGCAGTCCCAGTCTATGTCTGCAAGGTTAAAATCCCTTACAATTACAACCCTATTTTTCTTTTACATATCTGAAATCTCTCTACATATTTGGCCCTCGATTCCCACTGACTATTGGAGGGGCCTATAAAGGTGATCGTCCCCTTATTTCGGAGTTCCACCTACATAGCTTCTCTGGACAATCACCTAGGAATATCCTAAGTCCAGCAGTAATGTTTTTCCTTAATCAAAAACTCCAAACCCCCTCCTCCCTTGCCTCCCTTTTTGTCCTTCCTCTAGCATCTAAACCCTGGAACAGTTTCTAGCCCTATTCGTCCCTGAGCCATATTTCTGTAATAACTATGATATCCCAGTCCCATGTTCACATACATGCCCTGAGTTCATCTGCCTTACCTGTCAGGCCTCTTGTTTCGAAATAATTGCAGTTTAATTCTTCAGAGTTACCTCGTTCTCTGCCATGCTCTTGCCTGCCTTGTCTAATTAACTTGCTCCCTTTAACTGCCAAACCATCCTCAGTTTTCTCTCTATTCTCACTAGTGCTCAGGATTTCCCCATCCCTCCTCTATACTAGTTTGAAGTCTACCAAATAGCACTAGCTATTGGTCTCCCTCCAGTTCAGGTGAAACCTGTCCCTTTCGTACAGATTTCTTCTGCTCCAGAAGAGTTTCCAATGATCCAAAAATCTGAATCCTTGCTCCCTGTATCATCACCGCAGGGACTCATTTATCTGCCTATCTTCCTATTCCTACTCTCACTAGCATGTGGCACCGAATTCAGAGGTTACTACCCTTGAGGTCCCATTTTTAACTACCTAACTTCCTATATTCACTCTGCAGAACCTCATCCTTTTCTCTACTTATGTCATTGGTACCAATGTACACAACGACCTCCAACCACTCACTCACCCCTCTGAAAATTTGCTGTAACCGCACAGAGGCAGTCTTGACCCTGACACTGGGGAGGGAAAACACCATCTTGAAGTCTTCTTCACAGCTGCACAATCGCCTGTCTGTGCCCAACTGGACAGTTGCCCATAACAATTGTTCATTTGAAATTTGACAACCCCTGCTTAACAGAAGATTCAGTCCTAGTGCCCAAGATCTGGCTGCTACTGGTATTTATCTCAAACAGACTATACCTCCAATGGTATATTTGTTTGAGTGAAGGATAGCTACAGGAGACTCCTGCATTACCTCCTACTTCTTCTGACAGTCAGCCTTCTACCTGACTGTAGCTGCTGTGATACAACCTCTCTGAAGTTACTATCCATCACACTGTGCTTCCTGTACGCTCCTCAGTGACGCCAACTGCCTCTGCAGACAATCCAAACGGTCTGATAGTCTGATATGAGCTGCATCCAAACACACTTCCTGCAGATATTTCTCCAGGGACAGTCATCTGTTCCCTGATCTCCCACATATGGAAACAGTTATTTTTTTTTAAAACTTGAGAGAAAACACAAATATTAAAAGAGAAGCAAATGTGAACAATTTCCTCTTTGCTGTCTCGATAATGGGAAAACGTGTTTTAAAGATCAGTAAAATAAACTATTGTTCCAGTGTGAATTTTCACTCTTCATTTACACCAGTGGTCAGGTGGGGAAGCATACAGAAAACACTAGAATCACAGGAACACAGTTCATGTGGGTTGTAAACCAGTTGAAAATTACAGACATAAAAGGAAGAGGGAAGCCATGAAGTGATTTGAATCATGCTGAGAATTTTATATTTGAAATATTGGGGAAACCAGGGACAAATGGTTTGTAAGCACAGTGTAGAACTTGGGGTTGGATATGCATAGGTTGTAATAGTTGTCAATTATTCAAATTTATGCAGCTGTAGCAAATTGGAAAAGAGACATTCTTATCTGACACATGGTGCAATCTAACCATTTTTTTTTTTAAAAAGAGTGCTGACGAATACCGCACAACTCGCTCAAAATACTAACCAGAATCTGATGACCTCTATGCCATCCATATTTCCCCTACGGCTGTGACAGTGGAAGAGAGTGAGGAACCGCTCCAGGCAGTCAACTCTGACCTAAAAAAGAATTCATAACTGTCAGCACAAGAAATTATGCTTGGATTAAGTTTGAGTGCGTAAGATAATAAGCAAATAATACATGCCATTAACAAAGGTGTTCAAGTAGTTCTCAGTATTACATTACTTGACTTGATACACTTTTCACTTCTTCGAAAGTTTAGATTTTATCTATAGTACCAAGCACTTTTCTAATGAAGTTTATTTTGTATAAATAGATACAGCAATGTACCAAAAAAACTATGATACATTTGCTTGGTAAAACATAAACAATACTAATAAGACAAAGTCAAAAACAAAATTGCTGGAAAAGCTCAGCAGGTCTGGCAGCATCTGTGGAGGAGAAAACAGAGTTAACGTTTCGGGTCCGGTGACCTTCCT